ACGCCTGCCAGAGCTCTCCTGCCACAAAGGGGCTGCTCCTGGTGCCATCCTGGAGCATGGGGAATCCCCAGCGGTACATAGGATGGAGTGGCCAGGAGTTAGCATTTCTGTGGATGGGCATGGGAGCAGGTGTGTGTAGAAGTGCGCTAGGGAGTGTGTTGAAACGGGCCTGGGGGAGGGCACGTGCAGAGGATGTGCTCATGTGCGTCAGCCTTGTGTTGTGCACTTGAATCACAATGTTTCCCCCAGCATCTCTCCCCTGTGCCATCACTGCTGCATTTCCTAAGTGTTATTGTCAATCCCTCCCCACCCCCTTGCATCCAGAGTTGGGCACTGCCCACACCCTTCCCGTCCTGACAGGTTGAGGGACCGCTCCCCAGCTCCCCCTGCTCAGAGGTGTTGTGCTGCAGTGGCCTCATTTCACCTCCCTTTCTCCACTCGCCTGTGAATTACCTCCTCCCCAGGGCTTGTCAGTTGACTCCTCCGGCTGCCTCCCAGCCCTGGCATTAGGGCCTCACCTGCTCGGGGCCTCATCTGCCTGGCACCCCCTCCCCTGGCACGTCATCAGGAGAGGAATTCCTCAGCTCTGCAGTGCTCTGGAGTGCCCTCGCCCTTGCCACAGGGCACAGGAAATTCCACTGCTCTTTACAGGGTGAAGGCAGCCCCTCCCAGTGAGGGGATCACACTCCCCTCTGCCCAACTTACCCGCACCATCAAGCTCTCAATGCAGCCTCACCCCAACGTACCTGGGAGCCAGCATTGACACCCACATCACTTTTCCCAGCCCCTGCACTTCAGGCTCCCAACATCTTATTATGTAGCACCCACTACCCCAAAGAAGTCCTGTCCCCCTGCCTTAGCTCATGACCCTGTCAGCTCCAGGTCCCAGGTGCAGGACCATGGGGGTCTAATCCTGCCAGTCCTTACCCCTGGAATTAGTTCAGGTGCATGGGTTGTAGGGTCTGAGCCTCATGGTGTTTGTTTCAGCTCCACAGCCGCTGTGCTGGAAGCCCATGGAGATCCAAGCCAGTGGCAAGGAAGTTTAGCACCAGGGACAAAGCCCACAGCACCAGCCCGCCCTTGTCCCATGCACAGATCCAGGGGACATGTGCCCCCCCCGCCCCCCCATGCTTGCCCGGGAGTGCATGCAGTAGTGGGAGCTGCCCTCCCCCCATCCCCACAGCCCCCAGATAAGCCTCACTTGTCCCCCCTTGCCAGGGCACTGATCCCAGCCTCCCCTCCCTCCCCTCCCCCCCACCCATGTCCAACCTGGGAATAAGGCACCCAGTGCCCTTGCCCACTGCCACAGGATCCTGGGCATAGCAGCCAAATGAAGCCATGGCTTTCTGGCAGAGCTCAGCCCCAGCTCCCACCCTGGAGACCCCCTGACTGGGAGGGGCAGGTCAGGCCTAAGAGCTGAGCATACTGTGTCCCAGGGCCCCACTGGCCACAGAAGGTCACCGACCAGCCCTTGGCCTCTTCTGCAGTGCCACCCCTCCTGTTCCCCACAGCGCCCCCAGTACTTCTCCAGGGACAGGCTCACTCCCATGACAAGAGAGGTCAAGTGAGCAGGCCTAATGAGGAGAGGCTGAGAGGCATGGGGCTCTTTAGCCTGGAGAAGCGAAGGCTCAGGAGTAACTTGGTGGCAGCCTGTAAGTATATAAGGGGTGCGCATCAGGAACTAGGAAAATGTCTGTTCACTAGTGCACCCCAAGGGAAGACAAGGTCTAATGGTCACAAACTGCCGGAAGACCGTTTAGACTGGACATAAGGAAAAACTTCTTTACCATCCGAGTTTCCAGAGTCTGGAATAGACTCCCCACAGAAGTGGTGCAAGCACCTACTCCAAATACCTTTAAGAAATAAATGCTTATCTTGCTGGAGTGCTCTGACCCCAGCTAACTTCCTGCCCCTTGGGCAAGGGGCTGGACCCAATGATCTTAGGAGTTCCCTTCCAGTCCTAATGTCTATGAAATCTATTAAATCTATGACCTTTGTAGGGGAACCTGGAGGCAGCTGGGTCTTCCCCAAACTGGTACCCAACCACTGTGGAAAACCCCATCTATCTGGTCTTGTTGGCTCATCTATGGGCCTGCCCCCCACCATATTTTGGACCAGCCTCTGAGGCAGAGGTGGCAGGGGCCCCACTGTGGGCAATCTAATGCCTGTCCTCTCTGTCTCTCCTGGTATAGTTGAATTACCTCGGGCCGCCCTTCAATGAGCCGGACTTCAACCCTCCCCGGATGACGAGGGCCGAGATGGTGCCCAGTGCAACGGTGGACTTTGAGCTGTGGCGCAGTCTGAATGACAATGCCCGGCTGGCAGCTAACTACCGGGCCTACACACACTTGTTATGCTACCTGCGTGGCATGGATGGGCAGGTGGCCAAGGCTGACCTGCGCAAAAGCCTGGGCCACTTCTGCTCCAGCCTGCAGGGGCTAGTGGTGAGCATCGCAGGTGTCATGTCCTCACTAGGCTACCCGTTGCCTGGCTCACTGGGCAGTACTGACCCTGCCTGGGCCCACGGGCCGGGGCCTATCAGCCCGCACAACGACTTCCTCAAGAAGATGGATGACTTCTGGCTGCTCAAGGAGCTGCAAACCTGGCTGTGGCGCTCAGCCAAGGACTTCAACCGCCTCAAAAAGAAGGTGCCCCCCGCTGCCGTTACGCTGCGCCTCGAGGCACAGGGCTTCTGACCCAGCGCCCCCCTATCCACCTGCCCAGCACCATCACGCTGCCCTGCCAGGCACAGGGCTTTGTTCCCTTCACTGGTTCTGTTTGCTTCCAAAAGGAGGGATGTGGCCCTTCCCCCAAACACAATCCAGAGCAGCAATAGTCCTCTCCCCTGCCAGGCAGACCAGCACTAACACCCACCTCTAGATTTGGGCACCTCTTAGAGTAGCATCATCCCCATACTGTGTGTCCAGCAATGAGCCCCACCTCTATATGTCAGGGCAGCACCAAGAGGCAATTAGTCCCTTGCTGCCCCCTGACCTCTTCCTCCATACTTTCCCCCAACTTGCTCCTTGGGTCCCCCCACCTTTCTTCTCATGCACAGAGGCCTGGACTCTTCCAGCCTTTTCCTGACATCACAGGCTGTAGCACCAGCCCACACACTGATGACCACATGCTTGGCTTTAGGTCTGCCTTGGCACTTCCAGCCCTGCCCCCAAGGCCTCGTGCCCCACAGCACCAGGAAACTGGAAGGGACACAAGCAGAGCTAGGCAGTGATTCCAGCCTCAGCCCATCGGAGCCCACGTCTCCCCTGGTCAGACCTTCAAATGGGGGTCACTGTCAGCTGAATGGCACCATGGGGCAGGAGGGATTCAATGCAGGACAGGGTAGGGTTTCAAATAAGAAAGATGAGGGTCCAAAACAGGAAGGGGTGGAGTGTGAAGCAGGAAAAGCCAGGGTCCAAACAGGAAAGATTTGAAATGGCAATTCCAGCATTCCTCTAGTTATGATGCTGCTGCATCTACTGGCCCCACATCTTGTCAAAACACCTGCCTAGTGAGGCCTAGGCACCCAGGGTGGGGTGGGGTGGGGAGCTAAACCAGGGAAGGGTGAGAGATCACCTATGCCCTCCCTTGACATGTGTTTTAACCACCCACACATCATGCCCCCATGCTCACGCCATGATGCGCATAGCATTGCCTTGAAGTTTACATTGTCACTGGTGTAGCATCAAGCAGGCATGGGGGTCTCTCCCCCTGGTGCAGGCCCCTGCCCCCCAGCTCCACCTGCCCACACCCCAGGCCTGTGCAGAGGGTGGGGGCAGGGCCCAGCCCCCTCCCTCTCCTCTCACATTCCCCCCTGTCGGGTTGTGTTTCTCTTGGTTTGTCTATATTAATATTTATTTATTTGGAGATGTTATTTATTAGATGGTATTTATTGCAGAATTTCTATTCTTGTATTAACAAATAAAAGGCTTCCTCCTTGAGCTTGGCCTGCTGGCACCTTGCACGGTAGGACTGGGGGCTTGCCAGAGCACTGGCACTTGTGGGTGGGAAGGGCGCACAGGGGGAGGCCCAGGATGCAGGCTTGGGCTTGTTGGGTGTCAGGACCAAAGTCAGAGGATGCCACCTGATATTCCCAGAGCACAAGGAGGCTCTTCTCTCTGACCCCCAAGCCTGCCCCCTCCCAATCCATCCCCCAGTCCCT